GTTGTCACAATGGCAGAGGAATATGCATCCAAGTGACAACGTCTAATGAGAGATGACAATGATGCCAATAGACAATAAGCATCACAGACATATCAATTCATAGCATGGCTGCAGTGCAAAAACATGGATGTGAGGCACAGATTCCGTAGCAGTAGCTACACCTGCGAAGTACTGTCTTTTACAAAACTATTAAAGGTATAAGATTGTTGTCCCCTTTCATGTAGCCACCATGTATCATGTATGTAAACTTGGGCTGAATGGTCTAGTAGAAATATAAAACTTCTAATAATACTAAAGAAGAGCAAGAAATAAATTTAAAGAGAGAGAGGAGGAGAAACGCAAGAAATGAATTACACCGTATGCATTGCCTTTTGATCCCTCAAGTGATTAAAAACTGATTTTACTTGGTGTTTTCAAAGAAGTAGCTGTGTTACTCTGTGCAAGAATATAAAGAGAGAGAGAGAGAGAGAGAGACAAAATATGAGATACTGATTACAGTTGGCTTCACACCCTGCTGGTGTACTTTTGGTTGTCAATTGCTTGATCGAAAACCAAGGTCACAAGCATTGGCTTGATAGTCTTGTAGTGTGATCTAACATGGCTGCATTTCAGCCAAGCCAAAGGTGTTGGCCTAAACTTTTTGTGGTTTTCTTTAATCTCGTTCGCTCTAAAAGAACATGAAACCAGTCTCCTTCATAACTGCCTCCCTGCAAATCTGTGGGGATCAGTTAACTGTAGAATGTCATGAAATGGGTATAACAAAATGTTCTGTGGAAGTTTATCAGTTTGACACAATTGCTCATGGAGTGTAGCCTGTTTCTTCAAATACATGTAGAGTACCATGAATAGGTAGACAATTATACAAGCCTAGCTCATTTCTATTCTTATGGCTTCTGGACTGCATGCATCTTGGGGCTCAATGGGCAGTTGGCTAGCACCCTAATCGGGCAAAAGGGGAAAAAACCCTAAAAGACCCTTTGCTCTGGGGGGGGGGACTGTTTGATATGTTTTGAATAGGCCTACCATGTGCAATCAGTTTCCTCCAGGACACCTGAATTTTAGCTTTTTTTCTTTCGCAGTACCTGCATCTGGAGCAGATTCAAGAACAGTTTTTACCCAAGTGCAGTATTGAGTTTAAATGCGGGGCCATAGGTTTTTGGTGGAATTTTAATTGCTGAGAGAAAACGGGGTATCTATATTTGGATGGTGAAAGTTGTGTATATTTTAACTTTTTTTTGTAGTGTTGTCCAGTTTTACCTTGGGGAAGAGCACCTCATTTCGTTGCACCCACTTGTGAGCGCAATGACAAATAAATTTCTTATGTCTTATGTCTTAT